AGAAGCAGCAGCTGCTAAATCTGCATCAGAATAATACATTTTTGTAATGCTTGATATGACAAGACAGAGTGTTAGCTAAGAACCAGGAAGTTGTGGTACCCTTAGCCAAACCACTGTCTTCTATCAGCCTCTTACCTGCAAAATCATGCTCATAATGCCAGTCCTACCTGGAGGTTGCTTAGAGGGACCATTGAGTTCACATATGCAAATTGTTTGAAATGTGCTACAGGATTCCTTGCTCTTGTCATTGTTGTCTTCAGAAGAAAATGAGGTAGTCACAATATTTATGCTCCAAATGTACATTAAAGGTAAAGGTTTCCCCTTGACATTAAGTCCAGTCATGCCTGACTCTAGGGGGCGGTGCTCATCTCCGTTTCCTAGCTGAGGGAGCCAGCGTTTGTCCACAGACAGTCTCCGTGGTCATGTGGCTGGCATGACTAAACATGGAAGTGCACGGAACGCTGTTACCTGCCTACCGAAGTGGTACCTTTTTATCTACTTGCATTTGCATGCTTTTGAACTGCAAGGTTGGCAGGAGCTGGGATACAGCAACGGGAACTCACTTCCTTGTGCAGATTCAAACCGGCGACCTTTCAATCAACCAGCCCAGCAGCACAGTGGTTTAAACCACTGCGCCACCTGCAGTCCCAAAATGTACATTGGATAAAGACTATAATATACGTGCACATGGATGCTACAGAAGGGAAATATACACTTCTGTATTGATCCTTTTTTAAAACTATGAATAAAATTATCATTTTTCCCCATGGCCTTACCCCCCTCCTCCATTTCTCTGCTTTTCTATCCTGATACATCCTTGCTTGTGACCTTTTGCCCATCCAGGCTAGTCTATTTCAGTAGTCAACTGTTTTTCTCGTTTCTGCCTTCACCTTTTCTTGGTCCTCATGCCTGGGTTAGTCTCTCCAAGCACCTGTGTGATGCCGCCTCTCCTCTTCACATCCCTCTTCAAAACCCATCTTTTCCGTGAAGTCTTTGGAATCAGGCCCTAGTCTTTATGCTCTAATAAACAGGCATTACTTAAAATCTGTTTCTAGCACCTATATCTTCCTTACCCCAATCCATTTTACTCTAGAGTACAAGCAGGGCCCCCAATCAGGATTAGGATCCTAGTTTGGGGCCTTGTAAGGGGATCTTTAACATCTGGATTGGGTTCCTGTTCCTATTCTGGAAAAGTAATGGCTGTACCTATCCTATAAAGTAACACCTGAACGTACATAGCCCCGCTGGTCACCCATCTCCATTTCTTTTGTTTACCTCTCTTGTGGCTTCTGTAGAGTGCAAGTGCCTCAGAACAAGGACTTGTCCTCTACTCCTTTGTAGAAAGAGAAGGACAGGCCCTTGTGGAAATAAATTAACAAAACAGGCCACTGCTGTTTTCAGTACTGTGCACCAGCAGGTTGCCAGTATTTCTTAGCACAGCCCCAAAAGGCAAGGCTGTCGTATTATTATCCCCATATTGCAGGGAAAGCTGCTCGGCTGAGAGAGCAGCAGCTGCCCTGTGGGCTTACCTTCTGAGCAGAGGTGAGATCTAAACTAGGGACTTCCTGGTTCACAGCTCTGTCACGTATGCTACGCTAGTTCTAAGCTCGGAGTATCAGAATTTTAAAAAGAAGGTATGCATGATTGCAGCCTATAATAACATTTTAAATAGTGACCTCTATCAAAGTCTTTGAAATCACTATGAAATATCTTTAAACTATCAGGACACAAAAAATTTATGCAAAGGTTGCAAAAACGCAGTGTAAAATTTAATTTGGTGAAAACCTTTGCCTTTTTTTTTCCCGGCTGCAGACGCTTGTCTAAGCGAAAGGCAGACATTTCGCAGAGGCACTGTTACATTAATTCATCTTCTGCATGCCTAGGGCCATGGTTTATAATGGCATTTCCTTTCTTTCTAACAGACTGTCAGGACTTTCAAAGGACATCCCAGACAAGCATAAGTGCCTGTTTGCTGGATGAATCTGTCTTGTCCTAAAGGCTCTCTTTGATACAGACGGATCTTTTACATTTAACCCGCCTACACTTAAAAAAAAAAAAACCCACTTTACTAATCTGGTACCAGCCTCAAATAGACCCCTAATTAAGTCATTTTAAAAAGATAAAAACAAAACAAATGGAGGTGGATTTAACAGACTCCAGTAAAATGGAACGGTACATAGGGTTATTATTCATAGTGGTGGGCTATACCTGTATGGGAGCCGTATCTGGGATCTGTAGTGATCACGATGTTTGGTCTTATGCCTCTTGTAGTCCTCTGATGATCATACCTGCACTTTTCCCTTTCCAGCTCAAAAGCCCCTAAAGGTATGGGGTTAAAAAGAAATTAATTGAATGGGGATTGCCTCCTTATCTAAGGATGGAACTACGCATTGTAAGAAACATGGAGCTGCCACCTTAAATGTCAGCTCTATGTCGAATTCCTCTTTCTCTGTATCAAGTGAATGCAAATTTACCATGTCCTTATATGATTCCACCATGCAGTTACTTTTCCCCAGTTCATGTCATTGGCAGGGTTCACAAGATGGAGAAGTACTTATTAAACCACAGGCTTGTTAACCACCCTCTGAACGGATGCTTGATTTACCAAATTACCATTGCTAGGTGTAACTTGTCATGCTATTCGAGCATGACAAGGGTGGATTGAACCCATGGATTGTTAGTTAACTGTCCCTAGCCATTCACTCTCACTAAGTTCAGAGGTCACAAGGAAGGTAACTAAGTAGATCAGCCAACAAATGCAGGGCTGGTTAACAAGCCACCATGGTTTATTAACCATGCTTGTACCATGTTAGCTGTCCTATTGACCAATGGAAGCAATGTCATAGTTCAACGGCTGTGATACAGGCTAAGTGGAAAACTATTAGTTTTACTCATGTTGATGTTATTTTGATGCCCTTATACCATGGGAATGCCCTGTGTCACCTCTGGAACTTGAGGTCTAAAAGATTCTGAAGCTGATGGGGGTGACAACCAGCCCATGGAGATAGTACAACAGGGAGTAAAGTTGCCATTCAGGTCTGACAAGAGGCCTGGTCTACCTGAAACAGAACAGGAGGTGTTGCAAGGAGGGACTGGGCAGGTTGCACAGCAGGAGCTGAACGGTCTGTCTGACACAGAGGTACCTTTCCCTGAGGAAGTGATGCTGGTTGCTAGAAAATAGCACAGGTGAGAAATTCAGCTGAGAAAGAGGAAGAGCGCAAGCGAGCTGGGTTGCACCTGATAAACAAGCGAGCGAGTGCCCCACCTCCTGGGGTCCATGGACAAGAGATCAAAGACTGAAGGTTGTTGAGAGGTCTGAACATTTCACTCTGGGTGAACTCAGAGATGTGTAACAATAAAACCTTGTGAAAAGAAACTCTGGAACAGTGTGCTTGCTCAGGAGGAAGATCGTACTGCATGACAGAAAAGTTATTTTTGCCTCAACAACGATCTAGAATTCACTGCATTTGGGGTAATTTTCAACCCCAGATGAAAATGCCTCAGGCAGGAAAAATTCTGCATGCATATATCGAGAGAGAGAGAGAGAGATAAACCTTTGAAGTTTCTTGGGGGGAAATTTCAGCTACAACATAGGAATGGCTTTCAGCTGTCAGCCAACACAGGTAATTTCAGGCTTAAGCCTTCCTGAAGCTATGCAGCACAAGAATGCCTGCATAACAGTGACTGGCCCCATTGACCTTCTCTCTACATAGCACTAATTTCGTTTTAGTTAAGAATCTTAGTTTTGAAAAAGGCCATGATGATCTATATTGAACCTTTTTTATTCCTTTGTTTGAGAGCTGTTGTTTGGGATATTAAAAATACCTCACACAACTATTCCTATTCAGATTCTAGGTTGGGGGTTCCTAACCTTTTCTATGCCCTGCACCCCTAGAAAATATTCAATTTACATTTGCACCCCCTACAAAAGTAATATCACATTTGAAAATGAAGAAGTCAAATATCTAGTGTTTGAACCACACACAGTATTGCCAGTTAACAAATTGAAGTCAAAAATAAGGTTTTAATATTCAGATATAAATTGAGTGATTAGAAAAAAGTATAAACAGTAAAATCAATCTCAATTGAGAAGATAAAATTCAATGACATCTTCGTTGCTGCTTCTCATTCACAATCTTGTCAAACTATGGAACTTTCTGGCTGACTGGAATCCACAAGTCTTTCAGTGGATTCAGGCAATTCCTAGATTTTGTCTTGATTGACAAAAGAAAACTGGATCCAAATGCAAACAAAATAATAATTTTATTATTAGGATCATTTCTGGTGAAAAACATCGCAATTCTATAATTTTGGTGAATTGTGATATAGCCTTTTGTCCACTTTGTCGTTCCCCCTGAATTGGCATTTTGCGCCCACTGGGGGTGCAGGTGCCCCTGTTTTAAGAACATTTATGCCCCGGATATGCTTTGGTTTATTTAAAGAAAACTGTAAAAGGCAGGAAGCTGCAATTTGGGGATATTTTAAACTTGGTACTTTGCGGCAATGTCCTAAAAGGATAAGTTGGTAGGACTACTTATGTATAATGTACAGGGGATGCCAGCTACCCCAAGATGTGAGTTGAAGGATACCTATTTATTATACTCCTTTGGTGTTTTGATTACAAGTATGTAGAAGGGTTGAGAGTGGCAACTGCCACAGCAGGCAAGAGGCACATGTTAGTGAAAAATAATCTCATAAAGATCCACAAACAACTGTGTTTGGCTAAATATGTATATCAGGTGTGTAATAACCTTTATATGAAAGGTTGGTGAGGGGGCTTAAGTTATTCAAGTGGCACATAACCCCGTGAATAAATACATGGCACAATGCCAATAATTCTATAGTACAGAGAGCTACACTTGAATTCAAAGAGTGCCATATGATTTGCTTTCAAGGCGTCTGAATCTCTTTGTCCAGCATATGTGCAACTGCATTGTTTTTACATTCAGCTTGTGTCTTTTCCATGTCAAAAGTGTAACGATTGTTTTGTTTTTAATCAGGAGGCTGGGATGCAGATGGAAAAGGCCCCAGTGTTTGGGACACATTCACCCATCAGGGAGGAGATCGGGTTTTCAAGAACCAGACTGGTGATGTAGCTTGTGGCAGCTATACTCTGTGGGAGGAAGATTTGAAATGTATCAAACAGCTTGGATTGACTCATTATCGCTTCTCTCTTTCCTGGTCACGTCTGTTACCTGATGGGACGACAGGTTTCATCAACCAGAAAGGCAATTGTTCCTTTAAAATAGAAAGTTGTGCTGCTTTAATTCAAGGTTATTGCTGCAGCCTGGCATAATTAATCCAGTGTGCTATTGTGCAGTGCAGTTTTGAAATTGCAACTTTGTTTGGAGTAATTATGGGATGATCTTGATTTTAAAAAGGGGTTTGAAAACCATGTCCTAATTAATATTCCTGTATACTCCTGATAATGTGTGTGAGTGTGTGTGTTTTGTTTTGCTTGAGTATAAAGTTATATTATTGCTTTTCTAAAAATTGCATATCAATTTTTTGTACTATTTTATGCAGTGATACACTTTGCATTATGCACCCTGCACTTTGCAGATATTCGTAAGCAAAAGTAGAGGAAAAGAAAACAAAAAGGCAAAGCATCAAGGAAAGTAGAAGTGGTAAGAAAGACAGCAGAGGAAAGGGACATACAAAAGTTATAAAATTCCATGTTGGATTGGATCCAAAATGCCATGTGGGGAAAAGAAAATAGCCAATTTTGATGATCTGCAAACTCTTGTGGAACTACAAGTAGAAAAGTTTGCGGTGTTGTTTTACGTAAATTACCTTGCAATTCTTATCTTTCTGCTTGGGTCAGAGTTTGCCAGGGCCTTTATATAAAAATGGTATCGGAATTAGTGTCAGTTTTCTCAATTCACACTCTAAAACAAGCTTCACTTCTTCAAGCAGAGAAAACATCTTTGCTGTGTAAAAGGGCACCTTTAGATTCTCCTCATTGAGAAGGATTAATAGGTGAGGCAAGGGGAAAGAAAGACAAAGGTGAATTGTGAGAAGCGATTTGAAGGTAATGAAATAGTTTGGTATCATATATGTATGGAAACAGACTCACCAAATTATTGGAGGCAGTTCAAGTCGTCAAGATCAGCAAGGGAAGATTAGGTGATATTTAACAGAGGAGGAGACTATAGGCCATTTTTCTTTACTTCTCCCTCTACTTTTAACTTCTTATAATGCTCCAAGTTCATTGCAGTTAGAGGTGCTAGGACTGGACAAGTGAAACACATTGAAACACATTCCAAATTATGCAGTTGGCAGAATTGCTGTGGTTTTAAACATCCACCACAATAATAAACAACACACAGGTATTCATTGCAGATCGATGTACTTGCCCTGGGTTAATTATTTCTATTTGGCAAATAGAGCTGCGTTCTGCAAGCTGGTGCTCCTGCCTGACCTTGCCTTAGATGAGTTAAGGTTAGCTGTGTTTCCCATGGGCTGATCCTATGGGGCCAACTGTTGTGCCTTGCCCTGAATAGAAAGAGCCAGCCAACAGTGGTGCATGAGGTCCTAAACTCTGGATAAAAACGAGCCTTTTTACCCTCAATGTGTGAAGCATTTGCCTTCTATGAAAAGCATTTGGAAGACAGCAAAGCTTCAAGTATGTCTGAGTATCCCCCCTCTTAAATGGCATTGCTTTTCAGACAGAAAACCCCATTGCCTTTGCTGCTTGACAGCACTGGGGTTCAGAATAGGTTATGTCATTTAGATTCTGGAACGGAAGGATAAGTTTAACAGACACTCGTAAGACGCAGTGGGAGAAATCATCATACTTATGAATTCTGTTGTAATTTTTTAGAATATTTTTCTCCTGCTTGGTTCTCACTGTAAACACTTTTCTGATTAATATTATGAACTTTAAATTTAACAAAAGGGCACTGGAAGCTCTCCTAGTAGGTTGGTTTTCATTAGGCAGGATCTCACTTCTCCTGAGCAGTGATCTGTTGAAGCAATTGTAACTGCAAAGCATGGAAAAGGCCACCATCCCCTGTATAAACATTTTTCCCCCAAAGAGCATGAAGAGAATTAGAAACCTTGGAGCAATGCCCTTTAAAAAAAAATTGCACAAACTGAGTCACTACCGATTTCACACTCGAAACATGGGGCATTTGGGAATCTGTATAAAAAATCATTTGTTTTCCGATGATGGTGGATTTTTTATGTTTTAAAAAGTTTTTATTATTGTTTTATTTTAAAATAATTTATGAAAGGCAAGGCTAGCCCTGTCATTTTAGGAAGGAGAAGGATGTCTACCTTAGGAAGTATATTTTGAGATGTCACTACAGGACAGCTAATGAAGAATTATTGCTATTAACATCATAATCATCACCATGGGGGACACCCATTTTAGATTCTGCCTTAGACACCATTAAGATATGAGCCATTTTATATTAAGGGTGCTTCACCTTTTAAAATATCGTGTTCAGTATAAAATGTACCACAAGGTTATTCTTCTCTGAAGGCTTTATTATTTATGCTGAACAGCACAACCGCAACAAATATTTAGCAACAATATTGTGCTTTTTAAATTTCAACCTGTTTTGCATTTGATAATTATATCTGATAATATATTACACTATTCCTGTGAGGTAGGCTAAGCATTATTATCTGCAGTATTAGCGGCAATATGCCTGTGCACATTAGTTGCTTGGGAACATACACAAGGAAGTGTATTGCATTCTTGTCTTGCTTGTGGGTTTCTCACAAGCAGCTGGTTAGTCACTGTGAGATCAGAATGTTGGACTAGATGGACCCGTAGGTGGCCTGATCCAGCATGGCTCTATTACAGTCTTAATTATTGAGATTCATGGCTTCAGTAAATTCAGTGAGGGCAAACCGAGATGTAAGAGAAGCTGAGTCAGGAGATACAATTTAGTGGAGAATTGCACATCTTCATCTAAGGATTAATAGGCATTCCAGCCTTGCTTGCCCAGACACAAGAATGCTTGAGATAAGACCAGCCATATGGTACAGCTGTGCAAGTTGGATCATTTTAATACCAAACACTGTCTTGGTAAAGATAATGTAGGGCAAGACATCTGGACGAGAGTAGGGCTACTTCTGTTTGTTAAACATTAGTGATCAGAAAGCCTGACATGCCAAAGAATTGTGTCTTAAGGCCAAAGCACATGTTACTTAAAAATGTAGCTGTGATATATGTTGCCATATATGGACCCAATTCAGTTGCTTTAACAGCTATTAGGGCAATATAAGTGGTAGGTCTGAGCCCCTACTATGGGGCTAATTTGCATTTGAACCCCTGTACTTCCCCTAGAGTAAAGAGAAACAATATATTGGCATCTATTAGTTAAAGAAAGCCTTCAGAAGCATTAATTTGAATGCCAGCCCTACTCATTCATCCTTATTTCTAGGACCCTTTCTATGATGTTCTTGGCACTTTGGTGTACCCACCTGTTCATTACTTGATAACTTGCAATGGAATAGGTGAATGGAACCCACTGCAAAGCACCAGGTGGGGGCCAGGAACAGGTTAGAAACTGCTACCCGGGCAGCATATCTTCTGACCTGGAAGCACAGGCTGGTCCAGAAAACATACATTCTCAAGCTTGTAGCTCACATTCTGGAATCTCTGACAATGTGAAAATTTTGTTCCTGTACTTTGATCTCAAAAGGTTCATTTACATTAATATGTTGCCATTTGATGCTTCAGTCATCAAAGCACAGATATGCATATGTAAAATAGCCTTAGGTTTACCTCCAGAAGGAAGTGATGGATCAAGTTTGCAAGTTCTACATCACTAAATGTTTCCAGGAAAGCTTCTGAAATGCCTATGGATGAAGAGAGGCTCCTTTGTCTGAGTTTGGTCCTTTAATATGAACAGCTAGAAGAACTGACAGATCCTGGGAAGGGAATTGATTTCTGTCTGGCACAGGAATCCTGCAATGCAAGAAGTCAGAAGCTGAGAGAGAGGGTGGGGGGAAGAGGAAGTCCTTTGCCTGACTGAGTACAAACACAACCCTTGTTGTCTTGCTTTTTTTCTTTAGGAGTTGATTATTATGAGAAAGTGATTGACAGCCTGCTAACAAATGGTGTGACACCTGTGGTGACACTGTATCACTTTGATCTTCCTCAGTAAGATCAGGTGGGCTGAAGTTCAGGTGCCACAGCAGAAGCCTTTGATGCTTATGCCGAACTTTGCTTCAGAACATTTGAGGACAGAGTGAAGCTATGGATCACCATGAATGAACCATATGTTGTTGCTGTGTTTGGCTATGAGAAGGGTATTATGGCCCCAGGTGTTACAGAGCCTGGTACTGGAGCATACCTGGCAGCACATAACCTGATCAAAGCTCATGCTGCTGCCTGGCACAGTTATGATAGACTGTTCCAGGAAAAGCAGGGTGGGCTAGTTCCGTAGCATTAAATTCAGATTGGGCGGAGCCCTTCAATCCAAATTCCCATGCTGTCCAGGAAGCTGCTAAGAGGCACATGTCATTTTGCCTGGACTGGTTTGCCACTCCAATCTTTCTTGATGGTGACTATCCCGCTTTCATGAAATCCAAGATATCAGCTGCATGTAAACAACAAGGTTCTCCATCCTCAAGGCTTCCAGAATTTACCAGCGAAGAGAAGATGATCAAAGGCACCACAGATATTTTTTCTTTAAATTATTATACAACATGCAAAATTAAGCATCAAGATAATTTGTATGGTCAACCAAGTATGTCAGCAGACAAAGAAGCAGAGCAGGTCATAGATTCATCCTGGCCTGTTGCACCTGGCAGTCCTTGGCTTCCGGTGCTCCATGGGGTTCACATCGGCTATTCAAATACATTAACTTACATGATTTCTGTCCTCTCTACCCTGCATTTGTTTCTTCTGCTACTTTAAAGACCATCTATCTGATGGTGATTCAGCATGGAGTCAGCATGCCATGTGACAGTCCCTCACATGGTGACAAGGAAGGGCTAATGTTGCACATGTTCCCATTCTGCCTTTATCAACTCTTAGGGTAATGAGTTGGAGCCAGTTTTCTCATGATGAGCTCCTAAGCAACATTTTAGGACACTGTGTCTGATGGTGATTCTGTAAATGGGAATAAGGATTCTCAGAAACATTTTCCTCAAATGAATTACAGAAATTTTATTTGAGACCCCTTATGCCCACACAGTAAGGCTTAAACTCATCCTTTTGTTTGTTTGCGACAGGAAGTTTAAGATTGGAGACAGGAAGACTTTATACCTTGACAGTTCTATTAGTTCTCTGTGGTTGTTGTTGTTGTTAGTCACGAAGTCATGTCCGACCCATCGCAACCCCACGGACAACATTCCTCCAGGCCTTCTTGTCCTCCACCATCCCCCAGAGTCCACATAAGCTCATGCCGACTGCTTCAGTGACTCCATCTAGCCACCTCATCCTCTGCCGTCCCCTTATTCTTTTGTCATCTATTGTTCCCAGTATTAGACTCTTCTCCAGTGAGTCCTTCCTTCTCATTAGGTGGCCAAAGTATTTGAGTTTCATCTTCAGTATCTGGCCTTCTATAGAGCAGCCAGGGTTGATCTCCTCTAGGACTGACAGGTTTGATCGCCTTGCTGTCCAAGGGACTCGCAGGAGTCTCTGCCAGCACCGCAAGTCAAAGGCCTCAATCCTTTGGTGCTCAGCCTTCCTTATGGTCCAACTTTCACAGCCATACATTGCAACTGGAAAAACCATAGCCTTGACTATATGCACTTTTGTTGGCAGGGTGATGTCTCTGGTTTTTAGTATGCTATCTAGATTTGCCATAGCTTTCCTCCCCAGGAGCAAGCGTCTTTTAATTTTTTTGGCTGCAGTCCCCATCTGCGGTGATCTTGGAGCCCAGGAAAATAAAATCTGACACTACCTCCATTTTTTCCCCATCTATTTGGCAGGAAGTGAGAGGACCGAATGCCACGATCTTAGTTTTCTTAATGTTGAGTTTCAAGCCAACTTTTGCACTCTCCTCCTTCACCTGCATCAAGAGGCTCTTAGTTCCTCTTCACTTTCTGCCATTAGAGTGGTATCATCAGCCTATCTGAGGTTATGTCTCCCAGCAATCTTAATTCCAACTTGTGATTCATCTAGCCCCGCCTTTCTCATGATGTGCTCTGCATATAAGTTAAATAGGCAGGGCGACAGTATACAGCCTTGCCGAACTCCTTTCTCAATTTTGAACCAATCAGTGGTTCCGTGTCCAGGTCTCACTGTTGCTTCTTGACCCACATATAGGTTTCTCAAGAGACAAATAAGATGGTCTGGTACTCCCATCTCTTTAAGAACTTGCCACAATTTGTTGTGATCCACACAATCAAAGGCTTTAGCATAGTCAATGAAGCAGAAGTAGATGTTTTTCTGGAACTCCCTAGCTTTCTCCATGATCCAGCGTATGTTGGCAATTTGATCTCTAGTTCCTCTCCCTCTTCTGCCTGTACTTCTGGTAGTTCTTGGTCCACATACTGCTGGAGCCTAGCTTGTAGGATTTTGAGCATAACTTTGCTAGCATGTGAAATGAGTGCAATGGTGTGGTAGTTCGAACATTCTTTGGCATTGCCCTTCTTTGGGATGGGAATGTAAACTGACCTTTTCCAATCCTGTGGCCACTGTTCTTTGTGGTACACACGAACAAACATAGAAAACTGCCTTCACCATTCCAACAGCACATTGCATTTACCAGACTGCTGAGTCACTTATATAGTCTTACATTTCACCACTTTCTTCAGACCAGCCCTCCTGATGTGTTGGACTACAGCTCCCAGCATTTCTCAGCCTGCTAGGAACTGGGTCAGACAGTCTAAGTTTGCATGGAATGACAAATTCTTACAGATTGCTACCAATGCTGGGTTATTGTGTCAGGAAGACCTTTTCCCAAGGTATCTGTGTGGGCATGAGGTACCCCAACAGTACGTAGCTTATTCTTCCAGTTGTATCCACAGTGGTTGTCATTTTGTCTGAGCCTGGTTTTTTTTTTTGGGGGGGGTGTTGCTGAGCTGGCTGTCACAATTCACCAGTAGCACCTTGGAGGGGCTGCCCGGCATTTTTATTTTTAATTTGCACACAAACCAGAGTTGTGCAAACAAGATTTTCTGAGAGCTAGCTGGGCCACCATGGTCAGTCCCACCAAGATGCTGCTGGGGCACTTTGAAGTGACTGCTGCTTGCTGTCAGTAGTGGGATCATGAGACTGGCTTGACAGCCAGTTTTCATGATCCCTGCCTGCCCCCACAAAAAGAGTTTGAAAGAAAAAATAGCCGTGATACACCCAAAGCAGCTTTCAGCAGCCAGACAACTTGTTCCTCCTGATGTGTCCTCGGGATAGCTGTGCGAGGGAGTAAACGGTCAACATCCCATGGTGAACCTAAACATCTGTTGGGTTTACCATGGGCTGTTTGCCTAAGAAGTAAGCCACTGTGGTTTATTTCCAGGTAGGTTAGCATGAGCACTGAACATATCCTCTATCTGAGCTGATATAGAATAGTGGATTGATTGTAAGAAAGCTTCTCCCCATCTCCACGCTGCCCCTGAACTTCCTGTGATGTGAAGGTAGCATACAGCCATCAGGACTAGTAGGCTTACCCTCCAGGAGTGTGCCCGGTCCTCACTTGAAGCCATTCAGACTGATGACCAGCTCCACATCCTGTTGAAGTGAATTCCGTGTGTATTGTGTGAAGAAGCATTTTCTTTTCCCTGTCCTGAATCTTCCACCAATTAACTTCATGGGGAGACCACAGGTTCTAATATTAGGACAGAAGGAGAAAAATACAAGTTCAGTATGGGTGTGGAAGACATACGTGTGTTACAACCTGTCCATGCCATACCTTGAGTTGCCTCCCTATAATATCCAAGGAGTTCCTGCAGGAATATTGTGTTTGTGTCATTTTCAGTGAAAGTATCCTTGAGGTGGGCCAGTTGCTTATCAGCTACTCAAGTCCTATTCAGGTTGGGTCAGTAGTTTGCAATATGGAAGGAATGCCCACTGTCCTCACTTTAAATTCTTGGTTCACAGCAACAGCCTTTTTTTATTCTAGTGCCTAAATTGGTATGGAGTCTGTTCAGTTCATTTCTTCCAGAGGGATTTGTCATGGCTTGCCTGGACCAAGGGGTTAAAAAGCACTGACAATAAAGCAGATGCTAATGCAAAAAGAGATATTTTAGTATTCTCATTAAAATAAGTAATTTCTCTGTCTTCATGGATATTTGCACAGTTTTGCTTTTCCATTGTTAGTCATAAAAGGTCAGCTTGTGGAAAATTAAGTTAATAGGGTCAGTGCAATTTGATGAAAACCAGTTTTGGGTGGTAGCTTAAAGTAGATAGAGGGTAATGCACCTGATTTTATGGGCTTTTCTTAACATCTGTTCTGAATAAAACTTCTGCTTCCTTGTTCTAGGATACATATAATCACCCTATAATTTACATCACTGAGAATAGGTTCTCCCAAAGTGACCCTGCTCCACTCGATGGTGCTCAGCGTTGGGAGTATTTCAGGCTGACTTTACAGGAGATTTTAAAAGGTACAATTTCAGGATGATGAAAGATCAATTGTGCAAACTTAATATAATTTTCCTATGTGCCTATTTGCATTTAGCAGTGACTAGTGATTCTTGAAAGTAATGTGCATCAGACAAAAGTGTTGTGATTAGAGAGGGGAAATGTTTAGCAGATAGAACAGAGAGTAGCTTTAGTCATCCTGTGTCATCATAGAATGAAAGAGAAGGAGAACGTTTCAGCACATACTTATGGAAATTTCATCCTTTCAGTCGGGGTTCATAATATTGAAATGGTTGGCTGTGCTAATTGATGCATAGGAAGCTGTCCGGAAATGCGAAAATAGGATGCTGCCTCAGCCTGATGCAGAGCAATAGTCCATGCAGCACAGTACAGGCAAAAATGACCAGCCATTGCTTCCCAGGATTCTTTTGTACCCCAACCTGGAGGTTCAGGGACTAAACCTGGAACTGTTTTGGCACACAAAGCAGGTGCTCAGTGCTGGTCCCTCCCACATTCATTTTTGCATGATCTGGCAAAAGAAAGTAGAGTTGAAAACTACTAGTTTTTTTTTTTTTTAAACCCCTTCCTGGAAGGAGCAAAGAGTTAGAACCAGAGCAGATGTAGCCAGGCAGAGAAAGTCAGGTCTAGAACTAGAACTAGAACTAGGGTTGCCTATTCAGTGGTAGAGTCAGCACATATCTTGTGTTTACTGGCTCTTTCAGATCCCGGTAATGGCTCTCTAAGTGAATACAGTTTACCAGTCAGTCAAGTAAAGCACTGATTTTATGAAATAAGTGGGCTGCTTTTGAAAAGGTTAGTAGAGGGCAAGTGTCTTTTCATCTGAAAATAGCTTGCTCCTTAAAACCCAGGGTAGGTTTTAAGGAGCAAGTCTAGGGCAAACCCAGGGCAAGGTTTTAAGGAGCAACCAACTCTATGCAGCACCCAAGTATCCATATCATATTCAATTCATCCCCTGTGGAAGAAGCCTGTGGGTGATTTCATTCCTCCTTCAGCCTTTGCCAGGGAGTAGTGTATTCTAAGGTAATCTGGGTTGACTGAATGAGAATGAATGGAACAATCTCATTCCAAAAAAATGAGATGTTCCCATTCATACATAAAAACCAGTGACAGTTTGGGTTGAGACTGTCACTGTGTCTCAGCCTAGCCTACCACAAGGGTTCTTGTGTGGGAGATGGAAATGTTGTTGTGAAAGGTGAGGGGGACCTATACCACCCTGAGCTCCTTGGAGGTAGGACAGAATCTTTATTTATTTGATTTGTGCTCACCTTTCTTCTGTAAAGATGGCATGCAAGGTAGCTTCCAATCACAGACAAATAAAACACGATCAAACAAGAAAAAACAATTACATTAAAGCGCAATTAAAATGCAAGAATAAAGCTGTATTAAGAATTCATCTATGTACAGGATAGAATCGTGCACTCAAGATTTCACTGACCACCTGCAATCGAAAATATTGTTTGATAATTCTGCTGAAAATATATTTGTCTGAATCTGCTGCACTGGCTGAGGCTGTGGCAAGAGAGGGGTTGCTTCTTCCTGAATGTTACTAACCGTGCTGTTGGATCCCTGTATCTGCAGTCAACACAGGTGACCCTTTGTATACTAGAGCACAGCAGCCCTCCATGCATTACATTGCAGCCAAACCTGGACTTGCTGTCAAATCTATACTTAAAAGGAAAGTGCAGCCACATGGGAAGCCTGTGCCGGGGTGCCTGTCTGCAAAATTGTGCTTTTGCAGTCATGCTTTGAATGTCTATTTTAAATTTTAAACTCTTTTAAAAAGTGATACATGCTCTGGTAACTTCCTGCTTGGATTACTGCAACACGCTCTATGTGGGGCTGCCCTTGAAAATGGTCTGGATACTGCAACTGGTGCAGAACAGAGCTGCCCGGCTGCTGACGGGGACCGGCCATTACTCTCACATAACGCCAGTCCTCTACCAGCACCACTGGCTTCCAGTTGGAGTCCAGGCCCAATTCAAGGTGCTGGTTTTGAGCTATAAAGCCCTAAACGGCTTGGGACCAGGATATCTGAATGAACGTCTCCTTCCTTATATGTCCTCACAACCCCTTAAGATCTCTGGGAGAAGCCCTACTCCGGGAACCCTCTCTAAGAGAGGTAAAAAGGTCATCAACTCGGAGTAGGGTCTTCTCTGCTGTGGCGCCCAGACTCTGGAATGTACTCCCCAGAGAGGTACACCTGGCACCAAGTTTATACTCTTTTCAGTGCCAGGCCAAAACCTTTTTATTTAAACAGTATTTTAAACTCAAACAGTTTTTAAGTTCAGTCACTCTGTTTGGTTTATAGTTTTGTTCTGTTTTATTATTGAAATTGCTGTTTTAATTGTCCTTTTAAATATCGTAAGCTGTCCTGAGATCTTGTATAATAGGACAGCACACAAAAGCTTTTAATAAATAAATAAATAAATAAATAAAATAAGTATGCGGTGCACATTAAGTCTCGATGCAGTTGATTAAGCGTGGGGAGGGGGCTGAACCCTCTCAGCTGTAGCTCCCAGTGCCTTATCACATGCCATTCCAGAGAGATGATCCCTCTCAGGGACAGCAGTGAAGGGGTGTTAAAGCCCCATCACCAGAACAGAACCCCCATAGAGGTTCTCTGGTTCCCACAAGAAGATTTCCTAAGCGAGAACACCCCCCCCCAACCCCTGCAAAGTGGCCACTCAGCCTGATACAAAAGCAGCTTGAGGTGGGGGAGGGATGGCCAGTCTTGTTGGGATCCTGGCAGTGTGGGAGCTGCCCTGATGCTGCTCATTTATATATCAAAACTGCCTGTGCTAATTACATTCACAGAGGAATCCTGCATGTAGTCTGGCCCTGTGGCCCGTATTTAGACAGGACTGCACAGGTACCAGCATACTAGCATGAATGTCAAAGAAATAAATCACTTTGCTTAAAAAGCAGAGGAGGACAGCGCTTTCTAGCTACCTTGATAGTACTGCTATAATTGTTACGAGGTATGAAACAAAAGGAACTCTGGCCAAAGCTCATAAATAATGCTGCTTTTTTGCACTTTAATCGTGACTATCCACCCATCAGCCTTTTTAAAGCTTGTCTGAATCCCCCCACTGCCCCCCAATCTTCCCCCTCATTGAAATGGTATCCTGTGGAACTAATACCCACTCATGTCAGGTTGTTTGGCCTTATGGACGTAACAGTTTCGACAACTGTCATATTTTCCATTACCCTGTTGAGGTTAAGATGCTCAGCAGTAGTTTCTGTGGGAATAATGTCAACATCAACCTGTATAAAGGCAGATAGAGCCATTGATTTCTGCCAGCCCCACCCCCTCCAGTGCTGCAGGGCCCATTGAAGAGAGACACAGCTGACTTTCCTCCTTCCCTTCACAGCATAAGAGGCACATGCCAGGGTTTCTATCCCTGTTTTTGTTATTCCCCGCCCCGCCACAGAATCCAACTTTTTTAGGCACAGAAATATGCCTCGGCTCACACAGCAGTCCAGGACTGCTGAGAAGGTTTCTAATGGCCCAGCTCGAGGCTCCTAATGACAGCCCTCCCTCGGCAAGGTGCCATCATTGTTATTGAAGACTTCTTGAAAATCGTCACAGCAGATCCCAGGAAACAATCTGATCTATGGTAACAGGTTGGCTGCTTCTGTCTTCTCATCTGTAAGAGTCCAACATTTGAAATATTATTTTCTTTCGGTGCCAGCAAGAAAAAGAAAAGAAAAATGAAAGGTATTTCTCACTTCTAAATGAGAGGATTGTGATTAAAAAGAGATTAGGCAAATGCATGTAGTAGAGATCTGTCAGCTGCAATTGGGCATGGACATTAGGCAGAATCTCCGTTTCGGAGGCAAAGTGGGTCTCTTACACTATTTGCAGTCAGTAGGAGTTAGGCTTAGGGATTTTCCAAAAACTGGGACTGGCCACTGATGGAAACAGGATGCTAAACCAGATGGATCCACAGACTGATTAAGCCAGGCTATTCTGCTTTTCTGAACTTTTGGGCTATATCTTTAACCTCTGATATCAAAGCAGTCTGGTGTCAGGGCAGCCCCCTTTTCCTTCCGTACACAGATACAAACTAATTCCCTCCCTCCCTCTCCCCCCCCCCCCCCCGCTTCTCTCTATATATAAACTGATTATGGTAAGGCAAACCAACAACACTGTCTTTCAGGCACAAATGTAAGTTATTGCAGCGGCCAACAACAAGGGAAAGAAGTGTAGTCATATTTCAAATCGATCACTCTATTGAGAAAGAGAAACTTCATGGCAAGAAGTTGATTTGAGACTGAAATTACACACACCCTGCTTTTAAGGCGGATCTTGTTGCTTCGAGCCAGCTGTTTAGAGTGCCTGACACTTAACCGATTGACATCTCACCCTGGGATTAGCTGTGCCAGTTCCTCCTTCTCGGCAGGCTTGCTTTGCCTTCCCTTCTATCTGAAGCTGCTTAACTCTTTTCTACCTCCTGACTTATCTTGTGCTCTTCAGCTACGGATCCCACCATTTCCTCCCCATCTAAAGCAGAATCTGTTTCCATATCCTTTGCAGCAGAGTTGGGCCCAATCCATTCCTCCAAAATTCCTCCCCACTGCGTAATTCTTGACTGTACTTTTTTTCTTTTTGTAAATAAAGCTAACAGTATAAGATGCCCAAAGGCAACACCCTTCAAACAACCTGAAAATAGATAGAGGAGAGCTGGAGGGATTTTGTTGATGTGTTTTAATGGGAGCTGGGTTAGGACAGGAAGGCAGAACTGATGGTCTGTTGGACAGTTCTGGAAGGGAGGGTTGCCTTTCTCTTCCCCCACCCTAAGGAATGTGCTAATTGAGTCTGGGGTGAGAACAATAGGGGCAAACAAAGGGCTAATACAGACATTACTTGGCATCCATGCCTACCAGCTACCTTTCTTTCACTTTTGCTTAGTCCAAGTTCAGATAACTTGCTGTGTTTTGCCATGGGTTATTTAACCCACAATGGCATTAGTTTCTCTTGACAGCTTGCATTTTGACTGCT